GCCACTGCATCTCTGTGCATCACAGCTGTGCCCACATCTCTGTCACCCTCCAACTCCATTGTTTGTGATTTTCTATTCAGGTTCTGACATCTTTTTAACCCCACAAGCAGTGAGCCTGTCCTACAGTGGGTGTTCCAAAATAGTTGAATAAATATATTCTAAAAGTTTCCTGTTAGCTAATAATTGACTCTGTAGAGTAAAACCAGAGTGTGTCATTACAAGAAAAGTATTGTCTGCATAAACCCCTTAGAACCGTTAACTTGTCAAAGAATTAGATGTCAGGAAGTACTAATTAAACCCCCCTCCGGACTGCCCGTCTGCGCACCACTTCACAAGAGCCTGCTGTTTACCTGGCGCTCTAACCAGTTTAATTTCCTCTTAAAACTTCCAAAACAAAACAAAACAAAACAAAACTTCTGGGCTAGCCTGCCCCTCCTTTTAGAGGCAATTTTGATCTAGTGAAGTCATGGTCAGAACATCAGTTTATGAAATTACTTTTTCTGCATGTAAACATTAGTTTTCAAAGGCAATTTCATTAACTACATCTGCAGCTCTGTGGACTTTCAACAGTTTTAATTACAAGGTTCACGTTGAGTTTTCAGTCCTCGAGACATATATATATATTTTTCTTAGTCTTAAACCTTATTTCTGCACACTAGTCCTCCACGATTTGACTTTACATGTCCCACCTTAGCATTAAATGCTCCTTTCTTTCTTCCTCCCTCCCTCCTTCTTTCTCTCTCCCTCTCTTTCCCTTTCCCTCTTAACATTTTATCAGGTCGTGAAATGTTGGCTGATCTTAAAAGGAAATTTTGCAAATGGTTGACTTTTGTTAATCCCAGATTTAGGGCGTGGGGGAGGGGAAGGGAGAAAGGAGCTTCTCTCAGATAAGAGCTTTAAACTGCATTTCCCTTCAACAAAATAAAAAAACAACAGCAAACCCCCACCCCCACCCCTACGCCCTACCGCCTTTGGGTACTTTGGGGCCGGCAGCCCCCCAAGTCTTAGTAAATGAATTAGCATCTCAGAAAGGAGATCTCTGCGGGGCTGATATTGATCAGGGTCAGCCGGTGTGTTTGCCTGCGATTGTTTGGGGGGTGGTTAATTGAGTGTCAGTCTCGGCCTGTGTCGTCTCGCTGGCGCCGGGTGCTTTTGGATTTGCTAATTTTCGT